CGCACTCCACTCGACCCAGTAATTACGTCGAGTTCGAAGCAGACGTCCAAAGTATCTCTCTCCCATCCCTGTTCCCCGCCCCCTGCTGCCCCCCGCACAAACGGAAACTCGCGGGATTTAGCTATTGCTGTTCTTCGATCGTTTCCTTCAGGACAGGTTTCGATGATCGTTCAGTCGCGCGACCCGCGCGTTTAAGCCCACCCTACGTCCGCGGCGACGCCACTCGGGTTTACATTTAAGCGGCCTGCACTCACGGAACAATGCTACGAGCGATACTTCTCTCTCGTTCCGGGAAACCAAAGGATTTGCGAAAGCACTCGATGTAAGATCCAGCCACTTGGCTCGGCGCAGTGCTTCCTCCTGCCGCGCGCGCGCGCTCGAGAGCGAGGTTTAAGACCGCGTAAAAAAGAATCGACAACGAGCAGCGCAAACGCGCTGGAATTTCGCCTTGCGAACTGCTATCGCGTTTGCACGAGTGGCCCTTGTTGAATCGTCTATCCCGACGCCGACGAATATAAGAGCAATACAATTAGGTTAGCGCAATTAAGCTGACGCGACGGAAGACCCGCGATTCGTTGCCGACGAGAGCGGCTAATCGCCGGGGAATGTCGCGCGAATTAATTACAACGTACAATACAGTACGCGGCCAATGTCTTCCGTCGACTCGTCGCTCTTCAATTTTTCTTCAAAAGCCCCGCCGGTAAATAGCGCACAGCAATGGGGACGAAGTAAGAACGCCATTGTCGAGTGATTCCCGCGTTATACGGGCGGCCCGTGGAAATGCCGCGCGAATTTCCCTGTCTAAATGCGGATGCATGTCCCGGCTACACCCGGATACATGAAATGCGCGGCACAAAGTTTTGCCCAACCTGCTAATGAGGCAGTCTATAAACGCTCAAAGAGCGCTTCCGCCCGCAAGTTCAACGTCATGAGCGCAGCGTCTGGGGGGCGTGAATAATCACGTGAAATTCGTGTTCGGAAGAATCACAACGAGTCTCTCTCTCGGAAGATCTACTTTGTATCTACTTTGTGTCTAATGAGCGCCGGTCTCCGTTATCTCGCGGTTTCGCGATTTCCACGCGAGCTGATGCTCTTCCGAGCGCGGTTCCGAGCGGGCTCTGACGCGCCATCATCGAGGAAGCGAAAAAAGAAAAAATCGGAAAAAGGGAGGTGTAAACGGGACGAGAATTGACACGCGCGCGCGTGCCGCGCGAAACTTTAATATCGACTGCGGTCCCTCGCGATTCATCGGCCGAATGCAATTTTCCGCGTATGCTAAAACATCCTCCTCATAAATGAGGTCGGGACACGCCCTCGTATGCGTTCCGTATGTACATTCCGCGCGAGAAAATGAAAATCGAGTCCGAGCAATCTCTCATCCTACTCTGCCTCACACTCTCTCTCTCTCTCTCTCTATATCTTTCTCTGTTTCGTTCCAGTTTTCTTTCTCCATCTCTCTCTCTCTCTCTCTCTTTCTCTCTCTCTCTCTCACTGCATATGGAACCTCTTATCGTATCGTGTATAAATCTTATATCAAGTCTGGAAACGTCGTACGTGAAATTAAGCAGACGCTACACCGTGCTTTCTCTGCACGAACTTTATCTTCCATATATTTAGGAGGAAATAAGTTAAAAATTTTATCGCGTGAAAATTTTATCCTATCGGCTTACACGATCATGTTTGGACTCCGAGTCCAAAAATTTTCTTTCTTGACATTTTCTTCTTGGATGAAGAATAAATAGTATCTTTAACGTCGGCAATAAAGTCTCGTTTTAGAAGAATAATAACGGTTCTACGAGTATCTTTAAATGTCTTTGTATCTTTGTGTCTTTGAAGTAAGAAGGTATCTTTGAAGACTTCCTCCTCAAGTATGCACCTTAGAAGGTTACGGGGAAAAATCTTGGTAAACGTATTCCCGCCTTCTCGCCCGGAGACGGAGGGCATTTCACGTTTCGGCAATTTGAGCGGAATATTCGTAGCGGGGACGACATAATCCCATAGCGTAACGGGATTTCCGCGCTTTTAACGGTTGGAAAAAGACGATATAGTTCGCGAGCGCTTTGCGAACGTAGCGGGTTATGCACTATAACACAAAAATATGATTACCGTCGCGGCGCCGAGGAATCCTTAAAAGAACAGAGATATAATATTAATTTACAGAGCGCCAAGAGTGATTTTAAAGTGTCATTAGCGCGGCCGTCCGTTATAACGAAATTGTAATTATCCGTCCTCCCGTCTATCTATCCGTCATTCGTTTTCCCGGTGAAGCACCGCCTCAATTTGCCCGCCGTCCGCATTGGTGATCGATACCGAATTAAAATACATGCAAGCTTTGGACATATTTGCTTGGAAAAATGAGAGCGCATGCCGTCGAGAGGTAAATTTTTATTTGAATGGATTCGCGAAAACTGACCGAGCGTGCTTTCCCAGCCGGAGCCGAATTTTTTCGGAGACGAAAATGGCGAACGGACACTCTAAATATAATCGACGAATCCCTCTTGATATAATCGACGAATATTTAGATTTCAATATACATATGTCTTCCCGTGGACGGTCACGCGAGTCGCAATTTTACCCCGAGGCGGGTTCAAATAACTGAAAATTATCGAGGGAAAATATTCTGCTTTCTTTGAAATTGACTCCATCAGATTCGCCCACTTTTGTCGTCACTAATTGCACAAAAGCATCAACTCGAAGTCCGTAATGTGAAAGAATGCATTGTTAAAATTTAATTCGATGGGCCAGCGAGGCGTTCGATATATTTCGCGAGCTATCGAGATCTGTGCGTCATTCTTGAGCGAAGTATAATGTATCAATTTCCACGAACCTGACCGAGTTATCCGTTACGTGACTATCAGCTAGGCTACATTTCGAATGTTATTTTGATTGATCGATACGTTCCCTCGGCGAGCACGCCGAGTAACGATTTTCAACGTCGGAACGCGCATATAAGCTTTCGCGTAGTTCACGATCATGTAGATGAGTGATAATCCGCAAATTTCGAAGATATAGATTTACGACGATGAAGATTTTCCGAGGAAGGCGAAGAAGCTCGCGGATAGATACAACCGACCAAGTGGCAAAATACGTGGTAAAATGTTGACAACTTGAATAGCAAACAAATGTGTGGAAGAGAATACAACTTCCCTTCTATCTGAATTTAGCCTGCAGCAAACGTACTTATATTTCAGCTGCTTATTCTCATACTCGCTTCAAGTTCAAGAGCAAAAAAGTAACTAAAAGGTAAAACTACTCGGGGGGATGGAATAGACTCATCTTTTTAATGGTATAACGATACGTTGGACACGTTACGTTCAGATATTCGCTCACACCCTCGGATAACATAAACTTGTCTCGTCTCTAAGTGGTGCTGTCTCTCACACGTTATTACATGTGTCGCTCACGGCCACAACACGGTCGTTCACGGGGTGGGAAAAAATTCATGAGAGCATCTCCGCGGCTTCCAACAGCAGTCGCGCGTGCGATGCGAAAAAAACAAGTCTAAGGGCGCACACGTGCGTGTTCGAAGTGCTTCGTTATTGCCACTTCTAAAGCGCCTCAAAACTCTAAAGTGTGTTAATACCGACATGCTTCTATGATATACGACAGCGGGTAGCTTCTGTGAATTGTCGGGGATTTATACGCCGCGTGCGTGAAATTGCAGCAGGATTCGAGCGGAAGTACATATTTTGAAGTGGATAATAGAGAGAAAGAAAGAGAGAGAGAGAGAGAGAGAGAGAGGGAGAAAAAGAGGGAGAAAGGTTTGTGTGCGGGGTTGTTGAATATTTTCGAAACCTATTTCCGCCGTTAAAACAATGAAAACGATTTGTTCGCCCACGCGCTTGGATTATCAATCCCGGCATAGCCGGAAATTTCAATGGCGAAAGTCAACATTCAATGGCTTTTCTAAAAAAAGAAAGGGAGGGAAAGCGGAACAAACTGCTGGAAATATTTATAATAACGGTAAACAGGAACGTCTCTCATCCTACGATATTTTATAAAAAGAAAAATCCCGCCTCCTTGAATATTTCACGAGAGGAAGAAAGTCGGACAGGTACAAACTACCCTCCTTATAAATTCTCTTAATAATCGCGCGGAATTTAACAAAAAGAAGATTGAACCTGCCTTGTCTTGACGGGCCGTACATTTGTAATTCGATAGGGGGGAGAAAATAAAAGCAGTTATTAAGTAACGAACACGATCGCGCGCGCGCGCGCGCGCGCGCAGAAGCTCTAATGGCCACTGAGAACTAATTTCTCATCTTTACAAATCTCTGTTTCAGCCCGAGAGGCCTCGGGAACCACCGACAACATAAGCCCCGGCCCCATAGATCTTGTCGAATCGCGAGGAACCTCGGGAACGACCGCTGTAATAAGACACGCCGTAAGAATCCACCAAGAATAATCGACGCGCCGTCTGATCGATCATAAGAATTAAAGTGAGAAACTCATCATTCGCTTTCTTCCGCCTCAGCGCCGACAAAGTACGAGGCGTAAGAGGCGGGTCAATTGTTAATTAAGTCGAAGAAATTTCACTTTCAAGCGTTGTCATTAGCTTGTCAAAAGGAAGAAAATGACTCGATAGAAGGAGGCTAATTAAAATACGCGAATCACCCATTCGGATCGATCGATCGACGCGATCGACGCGATCGACAGTTACCCCCGGTGATTTTCTCAGTTACCACACGGACGCGTCAACGCGGCATAAAGGCGACGACGACGACGACGAAGAGGAGCTAAGCGTCGCGTCGCGCCGCGTCGGCGGCAGCATCGCGACGGGGCGACGCGTTAAGCAGAAATCATGCGTCTCCTGGTGGACGCCGGCGTAGATACCGATCCCGCACGCAGCATCGAGGATGAATCGCTGGACAGCGATGTTGGCTCGCGCGGATCTCGGAAGTGCAGCAGCGGAAGTAGCGGACGCACTGGCAACGGTAGCTACGACAATAACGGCAGCGATAGCGGAATCCGCGACGGCGGCGGCTACGCCTGCGGCTACGATCGCGGCAACGGCAACGATTACGGCGCCAGCGACGATTTCTGGGCATGTACGTCTTCTATCCGGCGGACGAGCTCCTGCGTATCTATGAGAATCCGATTCGGGAGTCCGTGTCACTGACCGTCAACGACGCAGCGGTGAACGCCGGTTACGAGGAGACCGACAATTATTATCAGCAGCAGCAGCAGCAGCAGCAGCAGCAGCAACGAGTCGTCGTCGCGAACGACAACAATCACAAGCGTAAGAAGGAGAAAAAGCGAGAGTCTAGTCAGACATTAGCCAGAAGGCAGACCTGCGCCGCTCGTAACGGCGGCGCTGACAATCTCAGTAAGAAAGGACGACGCGAAGAGCACCAGGCCGGGACTATGCAAAATAATCGTGCCGCCGGCGAAGAGGCCGCCAATCCCCTCAAGGACCTCACGCAGCCGAGTCTCAACGAGCCGCTCAAACAGCACAATGGCGTTGCGCTTAAGCTCGTGCAGACGGGTAAGTGCGCTTCCGGTTGTGTACACGCGCGGAATTGAGCTTTCTCCCCCCCTCCCCAGCCTCTCTCTCTCTCTCTTTCTTTCTCTCTTTGTCTCCTTCCCCGATACATCTGCCGTGTCGAACGTGTTTCTCCTAGCCGCGTTACTTCACTCTGGGGTGCTGATATATCGGCACGGTTCGACTGTGCGACGACACATGTATGTGTATGGCCGCGCGAAGCTTGAACAAATTGGCGAAAAATCGAAAGACTGATCGCGGCCGAGGTGACTCAAACTATCCGTGACACTACACACACGTGAAGCACATCACACACGTCGCCCGCGTCCAGTCGCTCATCTCTCGCCGGCAATTCCAAAGTTCCAGCTGAGTTGGCGTATTACGTGTCCCGACTTGGCGCAAGTTTAATGCCCGCGTAACGAAGACAGTTTGCGGTTTATGTCGCTGAGACGGACGAGGGGGACGACTTAATTGCAAATCTCATCGTAGCGATAAGGGGACGAGCTTAATTATTTCATGCCCTGCGATATCTCTCCCGACCCCTCTGGCGGGAATGAAAAATAACAGCTTTACAAAGTACGCACACATTGTGTGCGTACAATTGCTACGCACACACACACACACACACACACACACACACACACGCGCGTGTTTCTGATTTTGTTTTTCGATACGTGGCTACCTCCTCACATTGTGTCGTTCGCTTGACGGATTCGCCGTCGATCTTCCCACTCGGCAAAAGTATCGGGCACAAGAGAGTCGTTACTCTTTTATATTTTCATATGAAATATCCCTGGACAGTTAACGAGTCAATTAAAATTCTATCGTGGTAAGGCGCACTCGAGATTAAATGGACAAAGTTCCATTATCCATCCCGTGCTCCTCCTCCGTTCCCTCCCTCGGGCGAGTGGCCATTTATTTTCATACACTTACGACTCGTAAGCTATTAAATCCCCGACATTTTGTTGTGAGGATTCTTGTCTCCAGCTTACTCCCGGGAAATGTGCTATTAACGGCCGAGGGACGCGGGGCACATTTCTGTACAATGAGAGGACGTTCTGTACACGCGAGTCCTAAACCACAGTTTAGCATCCTCTTATTTAACGTGACACGCCGCGCGCGAGCAGCTGCGCGAAACTCATGAGTGACGTGTGATTAATTAGTACTACTCGTGCTCGTTATTCACGGACGTCTTTTCGCGGATACAACTTGTCGTCTCCTCGGTTGACCTTTCTTTACGCGCCTTATCGCCCCCTCCGCCCGGCCCTTATCCGCGACGATTGGCGCTGCATCCTACCTCGTCGTAGTGTCGTAGCGGAATGAAGAGACGAAGATTAATTAGCGGATAGGAAGTTGCCGAGTCCAAGGCGGATTGGCGAGCCTATTAGCGCGCTCAATCCCAAGCTATCGGTCTTTGTCACTCGTTCTCTCCTATCTCTCCTATCGACCTCGATCTCCTATCTGTCACTTTATCATGGAACTTGCGCGAGCCTCCCTCCCATTCGGCCGTAAGATCCCGATAACATTCGATCGCGACAAGCACCTCCGAGCCTAGCGGGCTCGAAACATGCTCGAACATGCGGACTACCGAGCGACACGTCGCAGATGCGATTCATTCACCCCTGCGCGCTCTTCACACGTAGCCGTAAACTGAAGTCGTGAACCAACAGAGAGACGCGTCATTTCACACGTCAGAGCCGCGAGCTTGCAAGCTCCGTCTCGCCGCGAATACGGAAGCGCGCAATGAAAGACGCGGAGCTACGAGGAAGCTACGAGAGCGTCGCGAGCGCGTAAAAAGCACGACAGATTTAACGAGACATCAACTTTTAAGATGGAAGTATAAACATTTTTTTTTTTATTTCGAGCATTACGTGCCTCGTGTCATTTGCATTGCTAAAAATAACCTCGATTCGACAAAAGGACCTATTTAGTATATGAATTTTCTTTCGGATTATCCTCCGCACTCTCGATCGATCGGCACGATCGAGAGTCAATTATTCCGCGGAGATTAGCCCGCAGAAACTCGTGTGGGCGAAACCGCCCCCAAGAGACATCGCGCTTACAGGGGGAGGGGGAGGGGGAGGGGGAAGCGTCTCCCTTGTTATCCCTAGCGCTGATCCGGATGTATCTCGCGAGGCCGCCGTCCCGTTCCGGATAAACGAAGTGAGTCATCTCACGTTGTCACGCCGCGCGACTTTGACGCGCGAGGAAACAAATTCCGCGGGCGCTGTTTCGCAGGATCGCATCCAAGAGCTCGTTACCGCGGTATAAATAGAGCCTCGCCTCGTGGCGGATTTAGAATGTATAACCGCGGCCTCGTCAAGTCCAAACGATCTCGAGGCTGTCACGTGTGTTGACCTGGATGTTTATTCGGTTCATCGGCGCGGCCAAATATCTCGCTGTGCTGCCTGCCTGCCTGCCTGCCTGCCTGGCAGTGCGCGATGAAAACGCTCGGGATTCGATGAGGCGACGTTAATCCGCCGCGTAAACAAAAACCGCCGCCGGTCAAATCGTTATTCCGCTTTCAGGCGATTGTTCAAAAGAAGCTTAGGCGGCGTTCGCGATCGCGGGACAGTCGCGTCTCTGCGGCGAGCGAATCGGGCTTTGTCCAATTGTTAAAACCGCGAGCGTGTAGTAACGTGATGCCCCTCGCGTGATGCGATTGGCGATTGCCATTCGTTAGTGATTTTATTACATCCGCCGGATGAACATTTATCACATTTCATGATCCCGCAATTGTCCCATTAATGCCTTCTCTCTCTCTCTCTCTCTCTCTCTGTATTATTGATTGAATTTGTTCTTTGCGATATCGTCCCTTCCCCCTCCCTGGCGGTTCTCCACTTCCACCTGTTACATAAAACGATCGCAATGTCAAGAATCGTATCGATTTCTCTATGAGCAACCCGCTCACAATTGGCCTTCTGTCGGGCCTCCGTTTAATGGCAGATTTTCGATATCGGTCCGATTCCGCTAATACCAGCCTAGTATTGGAAATCACATATCAGTCGAGAGTAAATTATATCTTGCAGCGCTCAATGTGGCTCGTGCGATATCGACGCGGGTCTCGAAAGCGTGCGCGCGCGAGAGAAGAGCGAACGGAATCCCTGCACGCGATCTCCCGCGCGAAACCGCTCGTCCCTTGCGTGGCAGAAATTTCCCACATTTTTGGTCCTCTCATCTCAATATACTTCAGCGTCTCCGCGCCCATAGACATAGGAATATAGGGACAGAGCATAGAGTTGCGGGGGGATAACCATTGCGGGACGGTGCGACGTCGACGAGGTAAACTATGCCTAAATCTAATTGGTGGTTGTGCCGTGTGTAAGTATTTCATATATACATAGATGTGTGTATGAAGTTGTGTGTGTGTGTGAGTGAAATTGTGAAAAAAAAAGACACATGCATAACCTCTGCAAAATACTGTCAGTGTAAATAGTTCTTATCATTTTGTTACATTTACTATTTGCCAGTGACAGCCAAGTCGTTGCATCACACGCTCTGAATATGCGCACTGTAGCGCATTGTAGCCGATGAAACTTTAGGCACAATCGCCCCCCCGCATTTCAGCACAACTCCCCTCGCCTATCTTACGGGCTTATGGTCCGTCCCTATATTCCTATGTTTATGCTCCGAGCGAAGATTCGCATTTGTCTCGCGCCCGAATGCCGATTTGTCGCGAAGACACGGCCACTCGAGTTCGCCTTCTCGAGCGACACGCTTAAGTCTGTTCTTTTTCAAAGGACTTCTGAGGTAACGCGATAAGTTGGAATGAAACAGATATGTTTCCTCTCGTCCTCTAACTTATTGCACTAGTGTGTGCACTAGTTGAAAAGTTCTCCGAAAAAGAACAGACCCATTGTAAAGCTTTCGCACTCGACACTTCTCTCTCTCTCTCTCTCTTTCTCTCTCTCTCTCTCTCTCTCTCTCTCACCTTTGGCGACGCTCGGCTGAAGAAACCGCGACATTGTCGGCGAGCCTCAAATGACTCGTCGCTCGATAACTTCGCCCGAGAAAAGTCGCAGCGACGTGCGACAAATTGCGAATCGCAAGCTGAGACCGTCCCGTTCCCGGCGAGGGAGGCGATCATTTCGCTAACGTAATCGATTAATTTGATGGTGCATTTCAAGCCAACGATAAATTTACCATCAAACTCGCGAGTTCGCTTTCGATTTCGTCTCGGCCGAGTCGGAGAGAAATGGGTGAAACACGAACTGCATTATAAACTGCGCGATTTTCGCGTTATAAGGGAAAGTCACAATAGAAGTTTTATAAGCTCTTTCATTGCACGTTTCCGTTTCGCACATCGCACAGACGCAGGAAAACGAGTGAAAAGCTGGCTGGAATGTTCCTCGACGCGAAATCTTGTCGGAATGATCGCGCGCTGACGTGATTCTCTGATTAATCGCTGATAATATCGCCGTTAATAAATCAAATCTAAACCTCATGGAAGGTACATCGAGAGGTAGCCACGCATTCATCGCTAACGATCCGATAAATAGATGACGAATTCTTGGACAATGATCGACCGGCCATTGATGAGCCAAACATTGGCTCTGTTACACAACTCGGGCTGTAGAGTTGCGATCGGCCGGATTAAATCCGCGCGTGCCAGGGGATATGACTGCGATACCACGTGAAGAGAGAGAGCGAGAGACAGAGAGAGAGAGAACAATCCATTTCACCGCATCTTCAATCCTATAAAAGGACACTCCGTCACGGAGTGTCAGGTCGGTCGTCACCCGCGCGAGTTTCCGCGAGAGATTAATGATCGAAACGGGACCGGGCCGTCGAGAACGTCATAGCGCGTTCTCGAGGCGCTGTCCACACAGTTCGCGTGACTTCGGACGATCAAGTTCGTCGAACCTGCGACTCTGCACCAAGGTCGCACCCTTGGACCCTACGGAGGCACGAAGCCCGTTACACTTTGAGCCGCGTCAAACCGACCGTCGTGTCATGTCGTGTCGTGTCGCATCGCGTCGCGTCTGGTCGATCCCCGGCCGAAA